GAGTCCACTCTCCACTCTGAGAACGAGTTTTCGCCGCTTTAGACGCATCCGGAGAGCCTGTCGCGTCGTTCAGTCGCGAATATTACGCATCGATAACGCTTATCTCGAAATATCGCGACCGACAATCCGCAGCGAGGTGCGACAGACTGGTTCAGGAAGTGCCACTTCCGTTTTGATTAAACCTCACTTGAAGTTTCTCAGATTCTGATTTTCTATCTTTCTAATATTTTGATTTTTTAATTCTTTGAAAAATACTTTCGTATTTTCAAGTATTTTTTTATATTTAAACTTTCTTTCTCCTAAGCTTGTTGTTAGAAATCTCAAATTCAATTTGAAGAATTTCTGTTACTAAAATCTCTCAAAACTTTTCGATTTACAACTGTACTTGAAATACAGCTTCTTTTCTTCTCCACAAATCTTCGCCATCCTTTCACATATCTGTACCATTTTTATGGTATATTATCCGATTAAGTGTATTGACGTGTTTCTTGTCTCAGAATACTCATCGTAAATACTTCGTCCGTCTACTGCGAATTGAGAAAGAGCGCGGGAACGACAGAAACCAACACCCGTTGCTCGTAAACAACGGTATAGGGGGATCGTCTCGTGTACTTATATAAAATATAAAAGGGAACAGGGAGATATTAACGGCCGCGAGCGTGGTACGTCGGCTTGTGCACGATCGCGTCTAATCGCTCGGCCGCTCGGCCGCTCGACGGCCTCCCACGTGCCCTTTCCTCGACGCGCGCCCTGTGAGGATTATGTGTTCTTACGAATTTAATTGTCTTCATAAATATCGGAGTTCCTCTACCCCACACGCAGAGCTGCGCTCTCCTACCTTCCAAGCATCTTAAGAACCTGGATCTTTTGGTCTGCACTTTTTGTGTTAATTAAAATGCATAAAGTATTTCTGCGGCCGTTGATCGTCGAATTATTTGAAAGTCGATTTGAAAAGCCACTAATGTAATCTAATATTTTAAACCTTTTTAAGTAGTAATAAGATATTATTACTAAATTTATCAAATTCTTGTATATATATCTTAAACATATAAAATTATTGAAAAATTTTTTAGCTTCAAGAATCTTGAAAAGTTTAAAGTTGTAGGTTATTAAAGTTTTCATTTATTTTAAATGAATTTATGGGAGTATGAAATGCTTAACTTTTAAAATTATTTTAAAGGAAAATAAAGTTTTTTTTTTTTACATTAAGTAATAAATTAAATAATTCTGTGAATATATTCTTAAATTTTTGTTTGCTTTAAGGCTTTTTTATTCAGTATGGTGTGTACTATCTATTATATAAATATACTGAATGGTTTTCTTTATCACACTGCATGTAATCTATAGCTGTACAAAAATATATAAGACAGCTCCGACAAAGCTTTTATGAATTCTAACATCATAAATATCTTGTGGCGCCTGGCGTCTCTGTTCTGGTGAAATTCCAGTGACTCCACTTCCTCTCATAAATGTATGGTCTTTACGGTCGCCGTTCAATCACCTCTCTCCACGCGTCTGGTGTTTGCCAAACTCATAGCATCTGTCGTCGGTCCGGCGTATTCTGCCGTTTTGCAAGGATTTAATTCCAGCCTTGGACGATTCCACTGACTTGGAGAATGTCCGCCAGTAGTATAAATCTGCGAATGTCTGAAGCATCCGGTCTGCATTTCCGCCGCTCCCGATCGATGTTTCAACACATGATTCGAGTGTTCCGCGACATAAACCATTCCTTGTGAATCATACGAAATGATGATCCTCTCAACCGACACACAAGCGTATTTCGGGTCTCCAATTATAAAGAGAGTTATAAAGCAGAGAAGCCATAAATCCCAAAGTTTTACGATTTCGAAGTTATAAAGTCAAAAGAAGTTTAAAATTTTCTTATTTTTAAGAATTAAAATCCCAAAGCTGTTACGAGATAAAAATTTGCAGATCCTTACGTAGTAAACCTTATGTTTCACATTTCGGTTTTAGAATTTTTGGTTTTTAATATAATAGTAGTAACATTTTTTAATCCAAATCTATTATGCTTAAATATACAATAAGTTTGAAGAAGTTTAGAGAAGTTGAGATTTAACCCTAATCGGTATACGCAGGTTCAGTGGACTCTGAAATTTTCTTCAACTATATTGTGAAAAATTGTTTATAATAAATATTTTTTTACCTTACATAATTTTAAGTTATGTAAGCTTAATTCTCGGATTTTGATTTTTAAAATAAAAAAATTGTTCAGTTAACTTTAATAGCAAATTCAATTAGACGCATTCAGTGCGTACTGATGCACATTAAAGCCGTCGTACACAAAATAACGTAAAGATATGTTTATAAATAAACATAGAAATTGATTAAATCGTGAAATACCCAATACATTTTGAATAACAATAATCAAAATTTAATTGAATTAAAGACTCCTTATGTTAAACATAAAATAATTAATCAAGTACAATATTAATGGCTATACAGAGTCAAACGCTGTTTTCGGTGCGTAAATTATGTACAAATATATCTTTGATACAGAAAATTCGAAAAAAAAACAGCGTTTGATTCTGTATAGCCATTAATATTGTACTTGATTAATTATTGTAATTTTATTTAATTCGAAATATTCGCATTTCATTTTTATACTCAAATTGAATCAGTGTACAACGGTTTAATATGCATCAGTGCGCATGCTAGTGCTTCCAATCGAATTCGCCATAAGTAAAGATGGTTTATGGACTCTTCACCTTCTACCGTTTCATCGTTCGACATTTTATCGTCGACACTTGTTCGTAAGACATTTTACCGTCTAATACATTTCTTCGCTCACGACACTTTACCTTCTAGTATTTATCCTTCAAAACATTCTTTTTGTTTACATTCTTTTGCATGCAGTACGGCCACTTGTTCGTCCGTGGCACCTCTTCGTCCACGTCGCTATTTGTGACGTCATAAATATAAATTCCAATTTAGTTTTTGTTAACACTCTTCTAGTATACAATGCTAAACGATTAACGTTTCATTAAAAACCTTTTTTCTTTTGTAAAAATAAAATGCCACTTGATTTTGTGAAAAGTACAAAGAATATTAGTTTAAGATGCAAAATGACTTTTCTTAAGATTTGTTGAAACTTTTACTATTTGAAGATAATGATATTCTCTATACATACGTATCATTTTAGGAGGGCAAATATTAATTATAAAACTTTAGAAAGCTGCTTTACTACTTCATTAACCCTTACCGTACTAATATGGGTAACTAGTGACCGAGCGATTCCCGTTCGTGCAAGTTTCTTTGAGTCTTTCCGTAATTATACTACATTTCATTATTTTCCAAAATAAAGAGTCAATATTTATTCTAGAATATTTATTCTAGAATATTTATTCTAGAAAGTTGAAAGTATGTTGGTGAATTTTTAGAGATTTTTTGAATTATTTTGAAGAGGTGAAAAAACGAAGAAATTTGAAGTGACCCTTGATGGTATGGATGAGGCACCAAATTGTAGATGGTACGGTAAGGGTTAATATCCACTTTTTTTTTCTTTCCTTCAATCCCCTGTATGGATTTCCGACCCCATGTAAGGGGTCACTGTATCATGCGTATCAGTAAGCTTCTAAGCCTCTTCGGGAACAGAGGCTCGCTTATGTTTTTGGATTTAATAGTAGTGAAATTCTGCTCTCAGAGTTTGTAAACACTCAAGGGGACGACCTACTAGTTTAACGCCGAATCCGAACGGCGAAACGCGAAAAATTGCATGTATGGGATGCAGGTGGGATCGAACCCGAATCCATAGATCGCGAGTCTATCGCACTGATTGTGAGCAGTGAGCCACTTGGGAGCCCTTAAAACCGTAATCACTACAGGCTCCAGACTAAAAGTCGATCGAATAGAGTGATTTCTATTCTCGAGTCGGCAGTCAGAGTCGGCTGTTGCCTTGCTGTGATTGGTAGAATGATAGTCGGGAGTCCGAGTCAATAGTCGAGTCAGAGTCGGGAGTCTGTAGTGTGATTACGGTTTAAGGCCGTATCAGACTACCGACTTTACAGGCTGACTGACTGCTGATCCTCAGCAGACCAATCATAGCGAGGCGCTAATTGGCTCGGCCAACTTGCGTTTAGATTCGAGTCTGTTTTTCGAGTCAGCGTCTCGTCAGCGACTCAGAATTATAACCAATAGAAATACAAGATTAATCACGTGATAGTTTGGCGGTTGTCTTGTGTATAAGAAAAAGTAGTTTGTAAAACAGCCTAATGCAGAAACAGAAAACAGATCAAAAGTCACAGTGATAAGATACAGTTATATGAATAAATATATCATTATTTGTTATATTTACGTTCATAACCTAACAACACATTTGCATTGCATGTTAAGTTTGTGAATCTATCAGCCGGATTACCTAAAATTCAGTCACGTCTCAATTTTCAGATATCGTATTATATCCGACACAATTCTGAGATCCACTCGCGTTTTAATAAATTTTACTCTTTTATACAATCCATATATTAATCTATAGTCTATACAAACATATTGAGTCAATCGATAGCAATAGTCATCAAGTGTGATCGATCAATTAGAATCGGCAGTCGGGTCGGCCTGCAGAATCGGTAGTCTGATACGGTCTTAATATCCACTTTGCTTATCAACTCATTCTCAAATACTAGCCCACAGTGGGGAAAATTAAAAATTACTATTCAAAAATTGCTGCACATTGCAACTTTTTAAGTAATTGTTTTCCCCATCGAACAATGCCCTTACGCTGGCGCCTCTATGCGATACAACCATCTTAAAGTCCAATAAACTCGCGAAAACTAGTCAAGCAAAGATTTAAAGAAAAGATTCGAAACGCTAAGAAAAAAAGCTATTTTGGAATCTTCTACTAATATTTTCAAGTAACTCAGAATGTTTGCAAGTATGTTCTTGGCGTTTCTTTTCATTTAAATCATTTAAATCTCAGGCATCTTAAGGGCGCGCACTCGTCAAAGAGGTCGTTAAAGAGGGATCAATAAACGTTTTTGTTGCAGAGAAGTGTGCGTGGACGAAGGCCAACAGCTGTCACTGGCGCACGGATGTCAGTTTTACGAGGTGAGCGCCGCGGAGAGTCCCGCGGGAGCGGCGTTAGCCTTTCAGGCGCTCCTGCGGGAGGCGAGATCGGTCCAACTTCTGCGAGCGTTGCCGATCCGCAGAAAACTGGGCGTACACTCAGTCTCGAGAGTCCTCGGGACAATCTTCGGCAAGAACACCACCAAGGATCGTAAAAAGAGGCCATCGTTGAGTATATGACGCCTTCTATGCGCCCTCCTCCTCGGAGGACGAGATGAGCCAGGCAAGAGAACTGACATCGTCGTCCTCAGCAGTAATGTTTACTCCAATCGCTGACGAGGTCCTCGATAAGGACGTGAAGAATCTCCTTTGTGCCTTCCTGAAGAAAGACGATCATCACTAGGATTCGAAGACTTAGAAGTTCTCGGTCTTAGAAGCGTCTTTTTGACAAGAGCGATCCTTTTCTTCAGGCGAAGAAATATGCATTTTCTAATGGCAATCAAACTCCCGAAGTTCTGAAGCATATTCGGGAAACTAAAACTCCGAGGACGTAAGACTGATTTTCTGGCTTTGAAGATATGCAGGATCCAAGGTACGGTACACTCTGGAAGTCTGACGTGCAGAGTATCTAAGGCTTTTTTTAACATCCGGTAGCTGAAAGATCCAGACTCCGAGAAGTTCCAGTCATGGAGGGCGGCAACATTTATCTAAAAAAAAAAAACTGTTTCGTGTCCTGAAGAAGGATGTTTACGTGGTGTTCGCGTGTGATCCTGCTTTTGATGGCGGGAAAGAAGTGAGTAGACTCAGAGATTGTTTGTGATATGCAAAGGTACTTTTTTAAATATTGCAATATTTCACAGTGATTACAAGTGACTGGCAAGTTGTTCCTGAACGACGTAGTTTTTAGAATGATCAAGAATGATCTTATGATTGCGAATCGCCCCGCAATTGATTCCGCGAGTGCAAATTTTACAATTTGGGATACATAAAATACTTATACATCTCTTTGGTGTTTAAGTTATTACATTATTAACCCTAAACAGTACATATGAAACGTAATGAATTTCATAAACGTTTCTCATATTATTTTTTATGATATTTATAAATCTTCTAAACTCTTTTCGAAAGATTCCTACACGATTTTTGAACTCACAGTTTTCACACTTCTATATCTTTCCCAGCTATTTTTTTTTTGTTTGATTTTATTATATGAATTAAATATTGTGTTTTACGGGAATAAGATACTGTTTAGGGTTTATTTTTTTTTTCTTCTAATCTTCCGAATGAAACCCGTGAGTCTTTCAAATTTCCACCAAGTGGAAGAGATCGCAATTCGATTCGATTTTCTGCCTATCGCCTTATTTGTATCTGGAAGATGTTTGCAAGCGCTCTTATTGAGAACGACTTCAATACCTTCGCCATCAGGCGTGATTGATTCGATGACTTTAATGTTCCTAAAGAAAGTAGCCTAAGTGTAAATAGCGCACGCGTTCACTTATACTCTGCGGAGAGTCTCAGAAATTTAAGTAATCGTTAAGATTTGCATACGAAAGAGGAGAAATAATGAGTGCGGAGGTTAAAATATTTACAATTAAAGATCATTATTTGATTTATTTGTTTGATCTGATGTTCAAGAATATTATGATCGTAAAAAAAAAAGAATGGAACGATATAAATTTGAATCTCAATTAAAGAGAAATTTTGTTATTTTATTGCAATTTACATTTTTGTTTTTTTTTTTTTTTCGTAGATCAGAATGAACGATAAGGGACGGCTATTAATGGCATAGTGGGAGTATTATAATAAGGTGTGTTCATTTCTCGAACGCATTTTCATCACGTTCTGCGCAGTATCTGAACGTGACTCAATTCGCTATCTTTTACTCACACATACATAGCAACGCGACTGTCGGTAACCTGTCAATGTAAGCGAAAAGTTTTCTTAAAAAAAATTTTCCGTTTTTCCGTTATACATACTCGACACTCCGGACACATGGAAGGAGAGTAAATAGTCTTATTTTAACTATTTAACGATTTGCTGTGAATATTAATATATTATCCAAAATTTCAAGATGAGATTTAGCGATCGAATAAATAACACTACAATTCTGGTAACCTGCGAGTGACTCTATACCGAATGTTCGCGAAATCTAATATAGTTGTAAGATGATTGCTGATGAAGATTCCAAAGAGAATCGAAACGTTCAAGAATTCAAATAAAGTTGATTTCAACACATCACATGGATTGACAAATTTATTTTATTGAGAATTTATTACGCACCTCCACTCGCGTCGACCTTATTAACCCGATTGTAGGTTATATTTGTGATTAAAAAAAAAGATTAGAATTAATTAAATTAACGATTTCATAACTTGTACATCTTTTAAAAAACCGACGCATTGCTGTACTACACTGTTGAGTGGAACAGATTAAATAAATCAGGAATAATAAAAGAGGAAATAATGTAGTTATTCATGCAGTCGTTGCATGTCGATTTAAAAAATCGAAATTAAACGACAAGTTTTATTACTGTATACACTAAATAAATTCCTAAACTTATCCTAAAATGAGCATTTTAGCATTTTGTATTTCTTTATTTGAAAATCTCTTCCGTTAGAAATTATTCAAAATGGCGAATTGAGTCACGCTCTGTCATTGGCCAGCAAAAACGCGCACGTGCACACTTTATTACTTCCACCATGATTAAAATAGCTTTATAAAATATGAACGATCGTTTGTGAATGATTGCCGTGCTGCATTCGTTAGTATAAATGATAGGTTGATTATCGTCTACTCTATCGTAAAAAATGTTGATTGTTTGCCTTTTTTGCTAAGCTCCTCAATCGCGCGCGATGTTTTGTAAATCATTTTTTTTTTACAACAAGCATAGAGATTATGATCGACTTTTGAGGTTTGTAGTTCACAAACACTTCGAGAGTGCCTTCCGGACGATGTAAAGTCCATTATACTTTTTCGCCAACCGCTGACTTTTTGATGCGAGTGTTAATGAAGAAAAAAAAAAGCGACTCTATTTACATTATGTTTAAGAAAATGGAGTTAACGAGCGGTATATTGCACGATCCCTTTTTAGCAGAAAAAAAAACCGTAAAATACGGGCGTTTAAAGCTACAATATGCTCTTTGCTTCCTGTTTCTTGCTTTTTATCACTTTTAACTTCTTGTCTTTTTGTTTTTTATTCTGTTTCTTCGTTTTTCTGTCGTCTAATATAAAAATTGACCAACTTCGAAAGAGACAAGAAATACGATTAATAAAGTTGCAAAGAGGGAAAAAGGCAAGAGGTATGAAACAAGAAACCAAAAAGCAAAGAGCATATTATATTATACCATTCGATGAAACTAGGTCTCTCTTTTTCACGATACATTCCATTTGAAATTAGCGTCCCTCTGAAATGTACGTATGTGTATGTGTGTGAGTGAGAGAGTGCATAATTCGATTCCAGGCAGATGTCGATCGCTGTATTCGAAGTGCTAGTCACTTGTTATCGAGAGAGGATAATAATAAAGAAGCGTCTTTTGTTAAATCTCGTCAAATTTAATTTTACCGTCCTATCGCCTGTTTCCCATCCACGCCGTGAATCATCGACGGCCATTCTGGGTAAGTTATTTTCGAGATTATTGTATATTTACAAATTTTTATACTTTTAATTATGCAATTATATGAGGAATATTGTTTTTTATGTAAATAATATATCGAAATAGTTCTGATTTTTTTTTCAAATCCCAGTGTTCCCATATATTTGAAATTTATGAATGCTAGCTAGAATTGAAATTAACTTGTTACTATATTTTTGTGAATCAATTACAAGGCCTGAGTGGCGTCACGAGTATAGATTTCACGAAAAGTCGGCCGGGCAATCCCACAAGTGAATTTAGCGAATTTCGTTAAGCAAATCCGCTGTCGGCTGAATAACTAGCGATTCGGGCCAAGGTTTTGGGTGCAGCACGTGTTTGCTCGTCTCTGTCAGGTCGCGATGCAGAAATAAAATACGGCTCCCCCCAAGGCCCCCGATGTATGCATTCCCTTGCAATGACGGCACGGTCACTCGCGCGTCGACAGAAAAATGCAAAAAGAGAGGATAGTGATGCAGGAACGATGGCTCAACGGAAATAAGGGATCGAATATCTCGTGAGAAATGAGTTTTAAATTTTTGTTGATGAGAGTAATTCGTAGAGAGAGATTTTAATGATGGCAGTATATTACAAGCTAAGTCATTAAAGAATTGTAATATATAATTTTAATAATAAAAGATAAAATATGTACTAATTTACTCGAAAATTTAATTTTCTAGGAATATTTAAAAAATTTCATAAAAGAGTATTTTTATTGTTATGACATTTTATGAATGTGTTGTGAAAGATATGAAAAAGAGTAAAGTAAATTTTGATAGCTTATACATTTTCGAAAATATAAAAACAGGAGAAATATAAAGACACAACAGATTTGACGTCAAGTAACTTCAAAATGACATCTGATGTGACGTCAAAACTGACAAGTAGTCAGTTTGTTTATTGGGGTTTGCTTAATTTTGCTTATTGTATCAATCCAATATTCGAATTAGAAGTCTACACCGTTCATGTATCGTAGATAAGAGAACCATGCTTTTTTTGCATACGTCGGCGTGAAGCGACATTACGAGGTGATAAGCGGGTACAAGAGTTCAAAACCTGGTCGGGTTTAAAATTTCCGAGTCGAGTCATCTAAGTCTAAGCGTTAGAGAATTCCCCGTAGGCTGCGCACTTCTCATATTACCTTGCGTCCTTTACATCCGTTCCCTTCCTCGAAGACAAATGATCCGGCTGTGCAGGTAAAACGATGCCCTGATGTTGTCGATTTATCGCCACGAGTGTCGCGACGCGTGGGGACCATGTCGCTCGAGGACTATATTCGTTCGCCCCGAGCCCGGATAATTTCAATTTGTGTATTTCACCCGGGAAATCGAAGCCTCAGGCCGTAGTCTGGAAATTCTCTCCTGGCACATCACTAAACTGATCTTACCTACGCTTAAGAAGCTAAGTGAGACGTTGCAGTTTTCCTATTGCATTAATCTTAGAAGTCTCTTGTTCACTAAAAGAATGAAATAAATATAAAATAATATTAAAATAAAGCCGGGCTTTATTTATTAAAATAAGAGCTAATAACACGGTAATTGTGTTTGTGTATATTATTAATTATATTAATTCTTATTTATTCTTAATATATAGCGTTTCGGCTGCTTTTTTCAGCCTTCTTCAAGATAATGAAACAAATATAAAAAAATATATAAAAATTACAAATTGAGTTCTATTTTTACAAATGTAGGCGAATTTCAATAAACCTTGAATAATTAGATTTGTATGATGATCACGATATGCACAAATTAATTTACTGAAAATTTAGAACAATTTTATGATCATTTGACATTATAAAAACAAAAACGTTTATGTTAAAGTAAATATAAAATTTAGGTTATTTGAATGATTAAATTTTTTATTATAGAATTACAAAAACATATGTATGAAAATATATCTTCAGATTTATAATATTCTTTTTTCGATATCGCTATATGAAATATTTACATCATATTATACATAATTAAATGAAATACATCATATAATGATGCACATTTACAATTGTCATGTGATGCTATAGAAAGCTTAAATAATTTTTAAATTTTTCTTTATTTCATGCCGCATAAAGTACGATAAATATACTGTAAAATTTGGGTAAACAAATGTTGATCTTGATGCACTGAATCTTGTTAAAAGAATTTGTAATCCTGATGTGATGTCAGAAAGCATAAATGATTTGTAAACTTTTATTTATTTCATGCCGCATAAAGTAAGATAAATATACTGTAAAATTTGGGTAAACAAATGTCGATTTTGATGTACCGAATTTTGTTGAAAGGATTCGTAATCCTGACGTGATGTCGTAGTAAGCATAAATGATTTGTAAATTTTTCCTTATTTTACGCCGCATGAAGTAAGATAACTATAATTTTTACCAACATCAGAAAATACGGTACTAAAAAATTCTGAAAAAAATCTAA